TCATTTACATGATTATGATAGGAAATTTCATATTTTTTTATACACCTGCTATTATATTGAATTGAGTTTAACCATACTTTAAAACTAAACTGTTAAGTTTAATGTTAAAAATTTACACCGATTATTTCATTGATAAAGAATCAGTTGTCTCTCATTCCTCATTGTTCGTCTAATGTCTTTAGTTTGAAACCCGAAAAAATTCATGGGTAAAACTGTCTGCCATGAATGTTGGAAGACGGAACCACGTCATCGTTGCAGTTGGAAATTGTCTCTATGTCTTAGGAGGTCTCAACAATGAGGTAATATTGGTTGATACAAAGTTGTAATGTGTGGCTAGAGACATTGAGGTAATATGTGGCTAGAGACAGTGGTGTAATATATGATATGGCTTGATAAATTGAGATAATATGTGGCTAGATAAATTGAGTTTGTATGTGGTAAGAGACAGTGAATGAAAATGGAGCAGTAGCCTACTAGTAGCAGTAGAGACTGAGGTATTATGTCACTAGAGATGAAGAAACTCTTTACAGGTAATATTATTCTAATACTGAATAGAAGTTCACATCTGGTTAATCTGTATGATTTTTTAAATACTTCTTTTGCTAAGGAACATTTTGAGGGTGAAATTCACAGAGCTCGTTTTTAGTGTATTGAAAAATTTTTCTTTTAGAAATAAAGCCTTGGAAACAGTGCATTATTTTGTATTCTCAATTTTGTAAATGGATGGAAAATCTTGTACTAAAAATGTTAGATTGTTGCTGATTCATTTATCTGCATTAAACAGGTTAGGTAAATTATATTTTAACTTTTAACATATATTTGTGTATTCTGAATGATAATTAATTCTGAATCACTTTTGCTATTATTTATTTCTTATTGAAAAATTGTTTTTGTATCCCCTATTTCTTTGTAAAACATCACATCTACTGGTATTCCTAGAACAATTATAATAACTTGCCAAGTGCTATCATTAAAACAGGTCACAACTTTAAACAGTGTGGAATGCTATGACATAAATAAAGCTGTCTGGAGTGATGTGGGGTTTCTACATACAGCCGTGAGATCCAGTGGATCAGCTGTTGTTGGTCAGTTAGTGCTCTTAAAATTTAAAGGGAAATAAATCTTTATTTTTTTTAAATAGAATTTTATCGAAATCAATGTAGATTTTGCAAAGGTCAACAAGGATCCCTTATATTCCTCGGTGTTCAGTAACCTCTAACTTAAAAAAAATATAAAGTGCTACTTAGAGCTTACTAGAAGTGTACACGGTATCTTGGGTGAGGGATTTATTTTAAATTTAAATAATAATGACTATTTACAACTGTACTGGGTACCAAAAAGTAAATTTAAACTATCTACAGGAAAAAAGATCATAATTTGTGGGGGCAAAGAAAACGACACAATCACCTCAAAGATAGTACAGTGTTTTCACACAGAGACAAACACTTCATATGTACTGGGAGAGATGCCATCAGAAACATGTTTACCCCGGACAATCATTGACATGGGAAAACTCTACTTAATCACACAGGTGAATTTAAAGCATTTATTTTTCTTGTTCATTAGAAAATGTATATTTGTTTCTTCTAATGCATTGAAGCCTTTCCTTAAGCCTTTTAGAAAATATATAGCTGTTTGGCAAGGTTGGGGAGGGTAAGGTAGGAGAGGAGAAGGGGGTGGAGTTTTGTTCTATAAGTGTACCGGGTACATTGATTGTCAATGTGTTAATGTTTATCTAAACATCTAATGGCAAGCCACAGCACCCTTATAGAATTGTGCATTTCTTATAGCAGCATCATTTATAACTAAGTCAACAGTTCAGCTTTTGGAAATCAAGAAATATAGCAGTTTGATTTTGAATCACCAAATTATAACTATTAGTATTAGAATATATGTTTACTGATAAGACTAAGAGTAGTAAGAGTGAGTAGAGTGATATAAAATGCTCTGATTAGATTGTGTTGTGTGATAGTTCTTTGACTGCTATTATGTGTTGATTTAATGCTTCCAGGAAGGCAGTGTGTGGAAGATGAAGCTAAATGACAGGAGTTCTACTATTCACAACAAGTCACAGCTTTGGGACTTTGCCCGATACTGGCATGGAGCATTGCTTCACGATGGCATTGTTTACATCATAGCTGGCGAGACACCCGATAACTCCGATTTGCCGGTACGGTAGGCATTACTGTCTTTTTTTGTCAGGAGAGTTCATGAATGTACTGGTTGGTATAAACCATAATTAGAACTGCCTTTTAAAAAAAACTAACTTGATCCCAAATTTTTAATTTGGTCTGAAATAAAGAATATGATTAAACCAGTTTTGTTAACCTTTTTTTTTAATCCTTAGGATATTTGGGCCATTGAGCTCCAAGGCGTTTTTCAGTCTGTAAGAAACTTGAGACCTGCCAACATTACCAGATGCATGGCTTGTTTGCGCACAACTATGGAAAAAAACATGCTCAAAGATTCTTTAGCCATGGATGTCAGCAGAGTCTAACATCAGAAATCCTACATTCCCATTTGCATAAACTTTGTATCAATGTCCTTTTTTAGACCTTTTTACTGTTTATTTTATTTTTTCATGTTTCTTTGTAACTTAATGTTTTCTCCTTTTGTAATGAAAATGAACATTGCTAAATTATTTACAAAATGAATGCAATGTTTAAAGTAGTGGTTGCAACTAAATGTTTTATATAAATTTGTTTCTTGTACCAACTTGATGCATTTTTAAAATAACTCTCAAGACCAAATATGCCAAAATAAATATTTGAATAACCAATGAAATCAAGCTGTCACTTCAGTCATTTACTACCAGATGAAAAATTTACTTGTACCTGTACTAATTTTAATAATAAAGAGATGTATGCAAATTTTGTTTATATCACCTTTTCAGAATGGTACCGGGTAACTTCATATTTCTTCACAAAAGATTGCAGCTGAGTCCTGCTGCACAATTTCTGCTCTTGTTTCTATGTTTGAAATGGAACTCAATTTTGTTTCAAGTTGAAAATTAATTAATAAATTTTGATATAATGTATATTCCATATTATGACACAAAAGCTCCTGAAGGAAGTTTCCTTGGTATCTATCCTTGATGGACTGATTAATATTATCTGATACTGATATTTATCTATAAGATGAGATAAGATTCTTTTATTGATCCAAGTAAATGGAAATGTTTTTTGATTGCATTATACATTTTCAGCACATAAATAAAACAACTTGAACAGAAGACATTTATAATAAATTGTTTCAAAAACAGCCATTCAGTGAGTTCTCTTAGCAAAATAGGAGACTTATTAGTTCTCGTTAAGATGTGTGACTTCAGAGGAAGCACCCCGGTAAATTCGTACAGATTGGGGAACAAAAGAATTTTTAAATTTGTCAGTCCTCGCCCTGATGGAAAGAATTCGTCCTGAACAGCCCAATCCTAAGTACAATCCTAAGTATCTGTGATGAAAAGGGTTTAGTTTGTGTTATGTTCCCAGCTTTCTTGATTAGTCGGTTTATGCTTTGTTAAATATCAGACGTTGAATTCCCCCACCAGCAAGTAATACTGAAATTAAGCAGGCTTCCAATTGTTGCACTGTAGAACAGTGGTTCTCAACCTTCGTAATGCCGCGACCCTTTAATACAGTTTTTCGTGTCGCTGCGACCCCCAGCCACACAATTATTTTCGTTGCTACTTCATAACTGTAAGGATATGTGTTTTCAGATGGTCTTAGGCGACCCCTGGGAAAGGGTCGCGACCCACAGGTTGAGAACCGCTGCTGTAGAATAAGTTAACTACTTGCTTGTTTACGCTGAAATTGAAATTGTACAGTTTTTAGAGGTAGAACAGTCTTTGGTTGGATTCATGATTATTTTTATATGTCTGGATAAACTAACATGGATGAATTTATTTACATTAAGTATTAAGGTTTCACAGAGGTTGATTCACATCGTTCATTTGTAGGGTATTGGGATTTAAGAAAAACATTTTTTTGCTGCTGTAAAAATCAGATTTTTAATTTGTAAATTACTTTAAAACTTTTTTTGTAGTCAATTACAAATTTTTAAAAATATAATCACTTCTTGACTTAAACTACTGTGGATGGTATCTCATATTTGGGAACCAGATTTATCTTTTTCATATTGTATGTCTGTATATAATAGTTGCTGTTTTCTTCAGTTTTTCGTAATTGAATTTCATGTACTATGTATGTGATAATAAAAGCTGCTCCAGGCATTATTAATTAATATTGTCTAAGGAGCCTATTAAAAGGTTGAGTTGGATAGATTTGTGTACAGACTTCTATTAGAAACATGCAATACTTTATGTATTTAGGTCTAGACCGCCGGTTCCCAAACTTTTCTATAATCTGCATGCCATACGAATCGCTTTAATAAGATTCGCACCCCTTAAAAAATTGAAAATACATTTTAAAATAATGGAATTCTAATTGATTTATTGAATTTAAGAACTTAAAAAATATAATTGTGACTCATTACACATAAAGTAAAATGTTTAAAAATAAATGGATATTTATATCATAATTCAAAAGCTCTGTTCTTATGATCAACTTTCCATAAACCCTGCATTGGGAAACTCTGGTCTAGGTTACTACCTTCAACTTTGCTATAGTAATATTATATTATTAATATAGACTTACTTAATCTTGCAACCATCTGGTCATTAAATATTTTAACTAAGTTCACCTCTGAAATCTTAAAGGAAAATTGCAGGTATTTGCATTACCGTACCAAAAAACCATGCCACGTTAAAAAATAAATCAGCACTATAATCCAAATGCTTCACATCAAAATAATATAACCACTTTCACAAATGTTCTCTCATTTAAATCCATACAACACAACTGTATTTTTGAACATGCAGAGCATTTTATTTGTTTATAAATTTGTAAATTAATAAAGCTTTCATAAACTAGCTACACAAGTATATTCAATATAACAATAAAAGAAATACTATTCAGTTAGCATAACAGTGAACTTTTTTAGACCCGTAATACAATAAACCTTAAAGTAACAAATGTAAATATAAAATTATATGTAACAATGTAGAAAATGCAAAAAGGTTTTATCAAAAATTTAATGCAACATGAGGGAAGATTTGATTAAGTTAATTTCTCACAAGAAAGAAAGAAAATATTCTTGGAGCAACAGCAAAGTTCATTATTCTACATAACTTTAAGGCCCTGAGATTTTTTTAGCGAAACATTAACGTTTTTATAAAAGCACCCCTGAGATATGAAGCTTCTCAACATGACTTGAGAAGAAAAATGTATTGCCATTTAAAAAAACAAAAACAATCGTAATTAATCATCATTTTCATCACTAGAAGCTTGGTCAAGTCCTTTTACATGTAGCATGGGCAGCCATGAATATGTGACATTTGTATGTAGCATGATCTCGATCCTGCCACTCAAACACTGAAATAGAAAAAAACTGAATAAATAAACTTTAAGGGAAAGAATTAATTTTTTGGTTTGATTTAATTAAATGAACTACTTTCTGTAGAACAAAACTGTGTTTTTGAAAACCTGTTTTTATGGCTTTAATGAATATAATTACAGAAATATTTAAAAAGACAAACTGATGTCTTTATGTTTAAAAGATGTGAATCTATTGCACAAATTCAGGTTATATTTTAAATTGAGAGGAGATTTAAAAACAAAGTTTTAAAATGTTTCTTACGTCCCAAGATGAACTGTGTAGAATTATATCTGATGGCAACTTTTTGACTTTACGTATCCAAAGTTGGTAAATATTACCTACTTTTAATGAGACTCTAACATCAAAACCACATCTAAAAAAAAAAAAAACGAAACAATACATAAGTGTTCATTTTCTTCCAAATCTTCAAATTCAACCCAAATGGACATCACTGCATGGCTAAAATGCCCTTTCAAGATTAATTTAGATAATTTTCAAATAATAATTTTTCTCAATTAAAAATTGTTATTACTTGGCTTATATTTATATCAATCTGTGTTAATACTAAAGAAAACTGTAAAATATTTTTCCCCATTGAATTGAACACGCAGACAAAAATGAATTATGCATCAAATAAATAGAAAATAAATTTAAAACTTACTGCCCAATCCATGTAAATTGCACTCTTCCATCATTTGGCCAGGACTTGTCTGCACCTGGTTGTAAGTTAGGAATTAATAGTTCCACCATTATCAAGCCTATTCTCAATTCTCTTGTTATCACTGAAGGTAGAAAAGATTTTTAAAAAAGCATTTATTCATCAAATCACAACTATGATCACTGAAAAGAAATACAAATACTTGGTACACATTGCCGGGAGGAGGGACAGATAGTCACAATGATGGTTATGGTCTAAAGGGCAAATGCCGGTAGTCACAAAGATGGCTAGGGTCTAAAAGAGCAGATAGTCACAATGTTGGCTAAGGTCTATGTAACTTTAAAACAGGGCAGGGGTTAACAAATACAATACTTATTGAAAGCAAAATAGGATGAAGTAATTTAATATAACTTATTGACTTCACAGAAGGAAGTCTGCTTGTCAGGTTGGAATTCGGGGTTTTATTCCCCAGACTATGGGGGCCATGTTTTAATAGTCAAGGTGACAGAGTAGCACTCACTTCTATTTCTGCAATCAACTTACTCCTTATAACCCTTATAATAATTGTGATGAGTAATAAGATAATATAAGATTATTTTATTGATCCAAATAAATGGAAATGTTTTTTGATTGCATTGTACATATACATTTTCAGCACATAAATCAATACATAATTTAATAAACTCAACATTTTCCAACTAAAAAAATTTAAACACAAGACATATAAATTAAATTATTTCTTTAGTGTAAAGAAACAGCCAATCAGCGGACATCTTTAGTCATAATATGGGACTTAATTAGTGATCATTTAGATTTTGTGACCTCTCGGCGAGCACACTGGTAAATTCGTACAGATTGGAGAACAAACAAACTTTTATATCTTTCAGTCCTTCCCTCTTACTCTTAGAAAGAATTGGTCCTAAATGGGCCAAACTTATATATCTGTGATGAAGGTGGTGGGATGTATCATCCAAAATTTGTTTAGTTTTACAATAACATCTTTCTTAAAAAATTTCTTAAAGTGAAGGATGTTAAGTTTATGTGATGTTTCATGCTTTCCTGATTAGTCTGTTTATTCAGTGTTTGAAATGAGACAATGAAATTCCACATCAGTGGGTAATACTGAAATTAAGTAGGCTTCTAATTGTTGCACTGTAGAATAAGTTAATACTTTTTATTTACACCGATATTGAAAAGTTTTTTAAGAGAGAAAAGTCTTTGGTTTGTTTGAATTTTTTAAATAGCCTTTGGTCGTGTTCATGACAATTTAGCTTATTATTAATGGTGATACCTAAGTACTTACTTGTCTCTACTTTCTCTATACTTTGATTTTTTATGTTGAGATCTGCACTCTGGTGTTTCTCGCTACTGGTACGGAAATCAACAACCATTTCCTTTGTTTTTGAGACATTCAACTGGAGAAAATTCTTATCGCACAGATTGATAAATCCTGTAACTAAGTTTTGGTAGGCCTATAAGCCTTCTCCTTCAGATATTAAGCTAACGATAGAAGTATCATCAGCAAATTTAATTATTGGAACGGTGTTGCTTGGCCTCTGAATTTCATTGGTATATATTGTAACAAGAGAAAGAACGCAACCTTGAGGCGCCCCAGTGCTTATTTCTAATACTACTAATGAAATAGTAGAATGAATTACCAAAAATTTTTAATTGAAAAAGACATTTCAAAATTTAATACATGTTGCATAGGCTTCACATACGCCCTGATTCAACTGGGGTTTTCCATTTAAACAACACAGTCACAGGCAGTTTAAATTCTATCTCAGTTCCCAGGTGAGATAACTAGAAATTATTTTCTAGGGCCCTTCAGAGATCAAGAGAGGCCTTTTGAAGCCTTTGGACTCCTTGGCAGATTCTAAAGCCTACAGTCAATGGTGTAAAATAAGATGTCTTTAAATGAGGCCCAGGCCCAGAGGCGTAGCGATGGGCGAGCAGGGGGGGACAGATGTCCCCGGGCGCAAGCTAGTTAGGGGCGCCAAAATGCGTTTTGATATTATATTATTGGTAAAAATAATGGGTTTGAGAGTTGAAAAAAAGAAAAGGGGGCGCTTTAAAATGGATCTTGTCCCCGGGCGCCAAACACCGTTGCTACGCCACTGCCCAGGCCAGAAGGCCATTCTAGCTACCGCCCCTTTTGAGAAAGTCATGGTTATTGAGAAGGGATAGGGGCTTTACTCTAGAAATGGGAATGAATGAATAAAGATTAATTTTCAAATAAATCCTATGGATATGGTTTAATTTAGTTTTGAGTTAAGCCTTCATACCTAGCCTGATACTCAAATTAGTCCAGGCTTCAAACCTTAAAATTAAGGTAAGACTAATATTATACATAATAATTAATAGCAGAAATTGTCATCTGTTCTTCAACAAAAATGGAGAGTCCAATAAGAGTGGCTGCGAAAAGATAGAGAGCTGTTTCCATTAATTGCATATAGAAAAAATTATGAAATTTTTATGGGCTAAATGGTTAGATGCGGATCATGTCAGTTGCATAAGATCATAGGAAAGATAATTATCAGCAACTATTCCGATTATTCTACAACAGAGACTTGTCAAGGTAAAGAAGAAAACAGTATTAGCAGCTAGAAAAAAAACTGAAGATACATTTTCTAACAATAATTCTTCAAGTTATTTCTGCAACATAAAAATCTCTCTATTATTCAATCTATAATCATACAAGGGTTGCACAGAATAATCAGCAGATAATTGGTAATCAGCCTTCTTGCCCTGTAGCCTAATCAATAATTTTATTAATTGACCTCTAAGCTTGCTAGATGTTTGTAAATCAATGAGACATAAATAGTTATAATAGAATCTTAAAGAGTTTTTTTATTTTATCAAATTAGGTATAAGTTATAAGACAGGGACATCCATAAATGAAAATGATGTCACACATCTATAACAATAACAGGCTGGGGAGGTAAAAATTTGATCAAGAGTAAAAGAACACTATATCTTTTATCATTTTCAGTATCTGAAGACTTCAAACTTGGCATCAATCCTGTTTAGTTTTTTCAAGCTGTTAAACATGGTTCTCTTATTTTTCCATGAAAGTACCCCTCAGGCTGCTTTGGTTTACTTATATAATAAGCCTAATAATAATAATAATAATAATAATATATGTGTTTTTTCCTGGGGTGGAGGTTAAAAAAAATTCATTATTAATAGTTATTCATAATTTATTGGAGTTGGGGAGTGCCTTTAAAAAATACATTTTTATGAATTTCCCTCTATTTGCAATTATAAAATTAGTGAAAATGGTCTGATTCCCGCGCTCACAAGGCATGGCTCTTAAATTTACTACCTAAACTAAGCGTAACAAGACATTCTTAAATATGGTAGCCACATTTATCAAATTTAAATTTTATCAAAACTGATTTTATGATTTCTTGATCGTATAGATAGGGGCAACAAGATATTTTTTAAAATAGCCCTAAAAAATACTTATACAGACAACCCTATCGAATATTCAATATAAAACAGAAATAGAAAAAGGTTAAAAACAAATTTTATTGACACAAAGTATTTCAACTATTGCCATTGCTTACATTGGCGCCAAAATTTTAAGGTCAGTGTTGTCAAATCAGCTTGGTCTAGTTAGTATTTTTAAAAAGAATATGTATTATTTAAGAGAACTTACTCCTCGGGTGCATTTTCTCGCACTCAAAACGTAAAGCTCCATCATAGGCTGCGGTTGATACACTCCAAGGCTTCAGCGTGGTTTCCAATCCCATTTCAAAGTTAAAAATGAAAATATCGGGCTATCTGCAAGTCAGTGCTGCCACTCATTTTTTTTTTTTTAAATCCCCAGGTTAAATCACATTGCTCACACAACAGACAATCTATCAGATTTCCACAAATAAAAGTGACATCAAAATCATGAGAAAAAAACAGCTTATACAATATTTTCAGACTAGACTAGGCCTATAGGAATATGCAAGAACATGCAACAGGGCTGCCAACTAATAAAATAAGTGGCTGAAAACTATTGTACATCTTCACAATAATCACAGGCAAACATTTTTTTTCTGGACACATTTTAAATAGATGACAAGACCTCTAAAATTCAACACTTAATCTAGTATTAGTATATAGGCCTAAATCTTCGTCATACGACGCAAAATGTGGCCCTTATTGCATGCATTTATCGCCGGGTTTAAATTTATCAAGGTTATGAGTTATGAACATGTTATTATGGGCCTACCTATAATATCTCCGCATATCTATGTTTTTATACATCTGGTCGTAGCAACCTCGTGAGTTAAGAAATAAAATATAATGTAAACAAAAAAAATATTTTAATATTTTGAAAACCACTGTCAAATTCAAATGATTTTTAAAGGAAAAAATTAATATTATGAACATGTCAATTTTAAGTTATTTTTTCAAGTTCACTAGAATTGTGCTATTTGTTAAATGTAGGCCTTCTACTATGCTGAGTGTTAAAAGTCAGTCCTGTTTTATCTACTTAGAGATAGAAGTACCGGTATTGAATAAAATCTGTTAATAACTTGAGGACATTCCTTGCTCCTTGCAATTGCAATGGCTCTTCATTCATGATTATAAAATAAATTAACGTTTGAAGGTTCTGAGAATATGTGTCTATCAGTTGTAATTCTTATGAATCGCGCTATTTGTATGCATGTTTTCTCAAATTTTCAGCCCCACAACCCATTGCTCGATATTGCTTTTCATAAGGGATTTTTACGAAAAACTTTGTTTTCACTGGTTGTTTAATTTTGGACAAAAAATGAGAAATAGATAAAATACTTAGTAGTAATATGCGATAACCAATCGTAGCATTACTTTTTTCCACGTGACATTAAAGTTTGCTCATCAAAATGGCAGCCTGTGAAATTTGCACTACAATTCAAATATATGAAAACATGACATGGTTTAGTATGGGTTACCAAACCTGGTTGAATGAACTTGATATCTCGCTGTTTTTTTCAGCCTGGGTCGGGATGATCGGTAAGAAAAATAAAGAGAGCCACATGGCCAAGATAACCCCAAAAAATCTGATTGCCTCTCAGCTTGTTGGCTAAGTTCAGGATGCGGTGCATGGTCTCATCCCGCTGGGTTACCAAACCTGGTTGGGAGAACGTGATATCTCGCTTGTTTCTTCAGCCTGGCTGGGTCGTAACGATCGGTAAGAACAATAAAGAGAGCCACAAGGCCAAGATCACTCCAAAAAATCTGATTGCATCTCAACTTGTTGGCTAAGTTCAGGATTCGGTGTCTGTTCTTATCCCGCTGGGTTACCAAACCTGGTTGGGAGAACGTGATATCTCGCTTGTTTCTTCAGCCTGGCTTGTCGGGACGATCGGTAAAAACAATAAAGAGAGCCAAAAGGGCAAGATAACCCCAAAAATCTGATTGCCTCTCAGCCTGTTGGCTAAGTTCAGGATGCGGTGTCTGTTCTTATCCCGCTGGGTTACCAAACCTGGTTGGGAGAACATGATATCTCGCTTGTTTCTTCAGCCTGGCTGGTCGGGACGATCGGTAAAAACAATAAAGAGAGCCACAAGGCCAAGAAAACCCCAAAAAATCTGATTGCCTCTCAGCCTGTTGGCTAAGTTCAGGATGCGGTGTCTGTTCTTATCCCGCTGGGTTACCAAACCTGGTTGGGAGAACATGATATCTCGCTTGTTTCTTCAGCCTGGCTGGTCGGGACGATCGGTAAAAACAATAAAGAGAGCCACAAGGCCAAGAAAACCCCAAAAAATCTGATTGCCTCTCAGCCTGTTGGCTAAGTTCAGGATGCGGTGTCTGTTCTTATCCCGCTGGGTTACCAAACCTGGTTGGGAGAACATAATATCTAGCTTGTTTTTTCAGCCTGGCTTGTCGGGACGATCGGTAAAAACATTAAAGAGAGCCACAAGGCCAAGATAACCCCAAAAATCTGATTGCCTCTCAGCTTGTTGGCTAAGTTCAGGATGCGGTGTCTGTTCTTAACCCGCTGGGTTACCAAACCTGGTTGGGTGAACGTGATATCTCACTTGTTTCTTCAGCCTGGCTGGGTCAGGACAATCGGTAAGAACAATAAAGAGAGCCACAAGGCCAAGATAACCCCAAAAAATCTGATTGCCTCTCAACCTGTTGGCTAAGTTTAGGATCCGGTGTCTGTTCTTATCCCGCTGGGTTACCAAACCTGGTTGGGTGAATTTGATATCTCGCTTGTTTCTTCAGCCTGGGCCGAGACGATCGGTAAGAACAATAAAGAGAGCCGCAAGGCCAAGATACCAGAAAGAGCAGACTATCAAGAGGGACTACCCCAGTATTGCAGTACTTCTGGGGGAACTTGTACAAAAAAAAATGACACCTTCGAAGCTTAAACACCATATCTGAAAACCAAAAACATGGCATAATTGAAATTTCACCACCAGAGGCCTGAAGAATTGCTCAGACGACCGGGCCCTGAGAATTTAAATGGCAAGTCTTTACCTACTTAACTTACTTTAAGACTAATAATACTTTACTGTCTTTACAGTACTTGAACTTGCACTCTTTACTAGTCTTTACACTTTGCCATTATAAAATTATAGGCCGCATATTCACAATATATGTGAAATGAATAATAAAAATAGGCCTATATAGTCATCGTACTCATAGTAAAAAATCATTCATAGCATAGACAGGAAATTTTTCAATTTTATGAAAAATAACAATTATAACATTCACTCTGAATAGGCCTACTTTAAATAGCTGTACCCATAAAAAAGCCTATATGAACAAATGACTATGTCAACTATGTGACAGCGGTATGTAAGGCTATGTTGAGTCAAAATAAATTAGGATAAGAAAATACAAAAATATCCCTACTCATAAAAGGAAAAATTATAGTAATTACAAATACTTAATTTCATTAGGCTATCTATTACTATTAATATTAGGGTAGGCCTAAATTATTTTCGTATGTTATATAGTATAAAACAGCCTAGGCCTAGGTTATTTATTAACTTAATAATCTATAATATAGCATTTATAGGACTGCGGCCAAGCCAAAAAACACTAAAACAGAAATTGAAGACACATACAAA